CCATCTTGGACAGGCGGCACTGACCAAGAACCAGACTGCAATAGGTACAGCGAGTGACCGATCGCATGAAATGTTGGCCGAAATTCTGAAATGCGTTTTTGATTTGGAGGGATTGCTTAGGTGGGGTTGTAATACTGCTTATCGTGCGGCATAATCCAGTAATATTTCAGACTCTCCAAGATATCGGCTTTTGAATACAGTCATTTTCGATCTCTTGCAGAAATCACACTCGGTAAAAATGACTACTTAAGTAGCACGCATTTTCCTCATTGATTTTCGATGGTCATATAAATACAAATATATTTTAGAGAAAATATGCATAACAACATGCTTTCTTCTACTCACTTGATGACAAATCACGTCGACTTTACATTTTATGCTTGAAGACAGAGTATATTTAGGTTTTAAAAAAGTTCTCCAATTCCCGAATAATTTTAAGCCAGATCAGCCGTTGCATTAGCGTTTAGCCATTTCAGTCTGCATGGCGCATGCTTTCCGCGTAGGGAAAATCGTTTATTTCTCTATGCCTTTCAGAATATATCATTTGGAGTTCACGGTATTTTACAACGAGTGCGGACTATGTTATACATTTCATGAGAAGCATTGGTAAACAGAGAGATACGGTGCTGTATGAATTTACATTGCGCGGCCTTAAAAATCGTATAATTTTAAACTTTTTGAAACTGAATATACCCTGTCTTCAAGCATAAAATGTAAAGTCGACGTGATTTGCCATCAAGTGAGTAGAAGAAAGCATACTGTTATGCATATTTTCTCTAAAATATATTTGTATTTATATGAGCATCGAAAATCAATGAGGAAAATGCGTGCTACTTAAGTAGTCATTTTTACCGAGTGTGTGAGCGGATGGCAGGTTTCACGCAACTGTTGAAATACAAGTTTACACATCGAAAGGAGCACGATGAGGCAATGAGTGTTGATGCGTCACACAGGATTGCCTCGGCACATGTGATCAGGGGGGACATCCACAAACTTGAAAATACTAGCCGCCTCGTCGCCAGGCCAAACAACCCATCGTTGCTGAGCGGCCACGGCGTACTATGAACCTCATATTAGAGCACCTGAGCAGCACTTAAGCCACATCATTGTGTGCCATCGAGGTGGCAGATTCTGGTGAACTGTGAGCTACTGTGAGGCTAGGTGACCGCCTTCGGGTCGTACGCGTATGAGTGGAATAAAAGGACAAATTTCGACAATTTGTGGACTGGAGAGATGCAGAAGGTCATGGTCTTTAAGGAATCGACAAAAGTGCTTCACAGTCAAGTAGATGGCGTAGAGTTGACCAAGGAGGGTTCTGTATCGTGCTTTAGTGGTCGACAGTTTCCGGCAGCAAGATTGGACCTATTAGATTTTGTTGCAGAAGTGCGTGAACAGCCACAGTCGAAAGGCCTACCATCACCAGAAGGGGAACTTCGGAAGCGAGAGGAGTTAACGAGAAAAACCTTGCTTCTCTCAAAAAACGGTCAATGTCCCGATAATGCCAAGAAGGCCCTTTGGGTCGGAATGCCTGCTGGTAAGCAAAAGCATGGGTTCAGCACAGTTGAGCACCAACCGTGCGATGGAACAGCTGAAATTGACGCTTGGAAGTTGGTGGAAGCCAATCACTGATGCACAGGGGACACAAACCATGCAAATCAACATGATCGTTAAAGATGCCGAGAGAGCACACAGAATATGCGCATAGATAGGCTATATGTGACGTCGTAATTGTCGAGACGATCGAACACAAGGTGAGTTGCTCCTTGTGTTCTTCGGCACTCCTAGTAGCCACCATAAGTCATCGATGCAGGCGGGCATAAGAAGCGGACCACGCCAGTCCGCGGTCAGTGAACTTCCGAAAAGTCTGGAAGAGTTGCGAAGACCAGAAGACATGAGGACGAGTTCTAGGAGGCCAAACAGGGCGGTGTGGGAATTTTTTAGAATATCGTCAATGCCGATCAGTATTTGGTAAAGGGCACGCGTCAGGTCGATTTTCAAAACAAGCGATCTGTCGAAAAGGGCTCTGGCAAAATCAAAAAATAGGTATTGGACGCCGATCGAGAATACTAGCGTTGTTGATTGCTCGGTAGACTTCGTAGATTCTCAAGTCGCTTGATGTGAGGGGGCACCAACTAATAAAGGCACATCCACTGACTCTCAGACTCTCGAGTGGTGCCTAATTGTAACAACTTTTCTAATTAAATTTTCGCGCCCCTCAAACAAGTGGGTGCCAGCCGTCTAGCTCGAGCGGACACACTAGGATATATGGTACGGATGTGATGTATGATGCCATGTTGTACCTCGGAACTGAGTAACTGGTTGCTGGTGATTTTGTGGCGTAAGAGAGTAGCTCCCAATAAAGACAAGTCACATATGTATGTTGCTTGACGCTGTAAAGGGACTCAAGACGCGGACTTACAGGTCAGTTGTTAGGTCGAGTAATCGGGCACGTTGACGGCCCGCAAGAAGACGAAACTCAGTAAGGAAACCGGAACCGTGGAGTTTAATGTGAACATCGGGAAGGGTGAAGCTGCGTGAAAACTAGCGATGCAGTCTATGCTAATAGTGAGGAAAAGACTGACGGACGCGGGGAGGCGAAAACCGTTGACAGTCTGGAGAGGATCAGGGTTGGGACGGTGGCAGTCCGCTGGAGTTGGGGGCAACAGGCTGACCCTGACTCCAGGGTCTACAAATCCTGCGAGTCAGACCGTCGCGGACATAGAAAGTGTGGCCAGTGTCAGGGCAGTCAGAAAAAGCGGTTATCTATATCCCCTGGCCCACTTTTTTCCCTGTGTGCACTTCAAGATGCAGGAAGAAGACCGAAGACGGGCCCTGGCACTAAGTGTTGGCTCATCAAGGACGAGACTGAGGGGACCACGGGGATGATTGGAGGAGGTGGGTCGCTCAGGCTGGAGTTCTAAGAAGACCGCTTTATGCAGCGTCGTTGTCTTCAGTATAGCTGATTGATCGTTTGCAGCCGGCAGCGGCGGGATGGAGAGCTGGACGACGCAGGAAGGTTTGAACAGCAGGAATGTCACAATTTCATCAGCTACCCCAGGTTGCCATGGAACATAGAGGTCTTCAGAGCCAGAAGCTAAGTGTTTGAATATCTGCCGACAAGTTGTAGTTTATCACGGAGTTCCTGTATCTTTCTCAGCAGTCCGGTTTGTAAGAGGTCACCAGGACCCTCTTCTCGAAGTAGGTGATGACATTGATGACGACCTAAAACAACATGGGGCTGGAGAAGTGTGCCTTCAGGATGACTTCAGGTAACTCTTACTGCATCTGAATCGGGACCCGTGCCGACAGAGCCTAGACAAACTTGTCGAATTTTGTCACTTGCTTTGCAGAGTTCGCCGAATAAAAACTAGACTCGGTTTGCAAGAGGTACAGTTCGGATGTATTCTGCCAGACATGTCAGCGTGCGTCCACGTTCGCGTTCAGAACTTTTTTCTTTGAGGGAGGGGTAGAAGAACAGGGCTCGTTAACCTGATCGCATGGTAATACTTGCCAATTAAATTAGGCCAACTTGACTGCAACGATAGTAAGACCTCCGATTTCACTGAGGCCCATAGTAAGAAAGGGGAAGAGGAAAGGATGAGTTCATTGCTGATTAGTTATACTTGTAAACGTCTGCTATGCCAGAATTAGCAAAGCATGGCTCTCTAAGCCTGGTATGGGCTGGCAGTTCTCTGAGACCTAGTTACCCGCCGGTAGATGCGTTTGCGCTCCTGCTGGGTATACAGGTTGTGAGCCTGACTGTCCAGTCATCTTCCCCCTTTGACTCTTTGTTGGGCTGCTTCGAGCATGGGCTGTCAGCCATTAGGCGTTGAACTGTACAGCAACCACATTCTGCAAATGCCACCTCAGTATGCCCCCATCTCATTGGAAATCTCTGTCTTCGATGGTGGACTCGAATATGTCTCCAAAAAGTTAGAGTGCTGAAACCCTTGTTCTAGGAATCAAATTTAATCCTTTCCAAGTACTACTTGTAAACTTCCGATGGGAATGATTTAGGTGGTCCCCTAAACAGGACTTGGGAATAGATACGCCCCGCCCAAGTAATAAAGGTTAACCCGCGTATAATTCCGGAAAGGGCAGTATATTCTCATGTCCTGACCCCAGCAACAGCATTAAATATAACTAAATCATCGACCTAGTCTCGACCCCAACCATACCTTAAACCTTAACTCTGCAGTTAACACTAAGCTCTACCTTAACTCTAAGCTTGACCCTAAATTATATTAGCGTTAACTTTAAGTCTAGTCTTAAACCTAATCCCTAACTTAACCCTAAGCCTCACTACACTGGAAATTGGCTCAAAACCACCCGTATTGCGGACGGTTCCTGTTCTCATGTACTATCCAGGGGGCCACATAAGTCAGTACTACCAAAGGGCACTTTCACATGCGTCTGTTAACCTTTTCTTTTGAACTCCCTTGTCGCTCTCTGCCTTTCCTGCCAAAGCACCAGGAGTGCTTGGTTTCCCACAAAACATCTCGTGTGTTTATCGGATTGGGCATTATACAAATTGCTGGCGTCTGCTTCTTCCATCATTAAAGGGAGCTCGGGCTGGGACTGTGATAATTAATAAATCCGTCTATCTGTGGTTACAATGAAAAGGTATTCCAAAAGAAGCTCCGCCCTTACATTCCTTCGGAAAGGTTAAACTTAGCCGTTTATATTTATGCTTTCTGACTAACGTATTTTCCTTTACATGTTCCTTCTCCTCCCTTCAGGGGACTGATTATCAATCACTATCTTTCAAGAAACACATACTAGATAAGCTAGAAATGTTTTTCGGAACCCCCTTTACTCAAAACAATCGCTTTCCAGCTGAAAAAAACGAAAACGCCATCCGTAGCGAAACGGAAATTTTATAAAAATCAGAATATTAGTTGATAACAAGGATCATTACTATTATTAGGCAATATCACTTTAACAACCACAGTCGTGCATTAATCGTTTCGGAAAATATTTCTCGATCCCTTTCGGCACAACTACTTCTTCGACTTCTCAATCTTTCGCCAGCCGGTGTTTTCTCTCACAGTTTGGGGAATATGACGGGGCTGGAAGGGGGCAGGTAGCAAGTGGTCGCAGACAATTATATCAGCTTCATACGTCTCCGACTTGCTGCATGTCACCTAAAATTATGTAATAACGGATTACAGGGGATTGAAATTCGGGTTGAACCATGAATAATGGGGGCAGGTGGATATACTCCCGCGAAATGCACTGCAGATTGAAATTATTTGAAGACGTACAGCCTAGTTAACGAGGGACAAATAATCCTACCTCAACCTCGTAGGTGCAGGTGAATCCATCCGTGGCAACCGAGCGAGGCAAAAGGGAGTCAGCATCACTGTATTTTCCCTCAAATGTAGCCTTATAGTCGTCGGGTACTTGGACTCCCAGCTCCTTTATACGTTTTAAGATTTCCGAGTCTTCAGTCTTGTCCATATTACCTTGGGCCACAATTTTTTGAGCTCCGTCGAGGCCTAGGGCTGGACATGTCACCTTTTGTGCAATCTTATAGGACATGCCCTTTCCCTTCCCACTTTCGTCAAGAACTAGGATGTTTAGACCGGTTTCAGGCGTAAAGTATTTATTCTCCAGCTACAAAAGAAACAATGAGAGACTAGTTTTAGAGTACTCACTGACCTAAATTTAATGACATATGAAATAACTTTAACAGAATTAAGCGAAAACAGTTTTCCAAGGACCTTTACGGAAGGCTTACAGCGAGTTTAAAAGTGCCAGTATCCTGTGGATCCACGGGTGCCTTATCCATTCCAAAAGTGGGGAAATCGATGGAAATTCGGTCCATTGGAATGGTTTGTTTCTCGAGGGTGGTAACGGCCTCA